TTAACCTAATCTTTAACCTAGCCAGAACCGTAACCGTGAGCCTAACACTAATCTCACTGGGAGTTGACTTGGAACCACGCGTACTACAGAGGGTCCCTGTCCTCGTGTCCTGTTTAGGGAGGCCATATAAGTCAGTCCTGCCGAAAATGATGACCGTTTGGCCCTCGTGCGCAGTCCACGGAACCTCCCTCTACAACAGCATTTTCAAGACAGCAACCCTGCACATCCTTAATTTTGTGTTCAGGAGGACGTTGTGGTGGTTCCAGACGGGGTGTTTTAGCCAGTCAAATGCTAAACCGCCTTCGGAGATTCGACTTGCAGTGACGTTGCTAATCTTCATGTTTCTTGAAATTCTACTGTCCGCGTATACGGATTTGTCCACTGGTGACAGGCGAGTTCCACTAACATTACCGTGGGGTTTCGTTGTAGACATCAATTGGAGTCGCTTGATGCTTAACCACCGCCTTCTTCATATTACTGGTCACTTTGAAGCTGGGGCAGCCGAGGGCCAAAAGGCCGGCTCTCAGCTTCACCTCCCCACCTTCCGCTGTGCAGCTTACCACGCGATTGTCCACGAACGGGAGGTCGCGGAGGCTGGCCTTTGCAACCCTCCTAAGTGACTTCACGTGGCGAATGTTGGGCGGTTATCCACCAGTACGGAATGCGACTTTGATTCCTTAAAGTTCCTAAGCTGGGTGTCTATCAGCAGGGCGGCAAAAATGAGACCGCCGTGGGCGGAAGCGAGTGATTAACATCCGCGTCATCCTGGTTGTCACTGCATTTGTCTCCAGGGCTGACGCATTATCTGTGCCACACGCCCTCATCACTTCGTGCGTTTGATCCGCCATCTGCGTGAGTTGCTCCGGAAATCCAAATAGTTCTCCAGATTCCCTCATGTTCCACTGTGGCAGAGGCCTTCTTCAGATCCACGGGGAAGGTGTACAGGCTGGTCCGCATTTGTTGACACTAATCCCGCAGACGGCACATCGCAAATATCGTATTCGCGGTCCAACAGCATCTTTAGAATCCGCGTCACTCCAAACATGTGTTCAAACTACTGAGTAGGATTCGCACCGAGAGTTGCCTGCGAGATAAAGAAGTTAGGTATGCCATAGTTAAAATAGCTTTGCCGTTTGTCAATGCATTTGTATAGGTGGGCGACAATAGCTTCTTTGAAATCCTGTTGGACATGACCTTGTAGCCACATCTCTTGGAATAGCGAGGAAAGTTTGTCATTTAGCTGTGGGTCAGCGCATTTGCAAAACGACAGGCATTGGGTCGTCTCCCGGTGCTGTTCCGTTAGGCGGCTGTTGAAATGCTTCTCTTGTTTATTGGTGCGAAGGCGGACGATCGGGATCGTCACTGGTGTCCACCTGAAGAAGGCAGTTGGTGCCTACTGCACAGGTTGTGGGCGTGTGTTTGAGGGCGCCCTAGAAGTGCCCTGGCCCAGCGCACCAGTATCTGTGATTTCTTCGTCAGTGAGGTGGCTCCATCCTGACTCAGCAGTGGCGAGGTCTGTTAATAACTTGCCATCAGCCTCAGTAGTTACCTGTGTAGCAACGCCTCAATCGGATCCCGACATGAGAACTCAACAGCAAGGGCGGAAGGGTAGAAGTCTATTGACGTATTTTAACAGCGTATTTAAGGCAAAAGAGGCACATAGGAGAATTTCCAAGTCTGAATTGCAATCGGAGCAAACAGGTAGTGTCATTTGAGGGACTGGTTTGTCGGTTGAACTCATGACTCATCTGTCTTGTTGGTTTGAGCTCATATCTTGTCCAAGTGCCAACTTTTCCTGATTGTTCCTGTAGCCCACTGCCGGCACCTAAAGTGCTTGAAACGACCGTTGTTTTGCTCCGTGACGTCAGCTGAATTGTCATTTCGTTAAAGTCGGATGGACTGTTTCATGACCAATATCCTGTCGTCCTCCGACAGATGACGCCGGACAAATTAGGTCAAATGACGTTCGAAGCTTTATCCAAATCGAAGCTTCCGCAGGAGGGACACCGATTGGAGCGTTCGGGTTTGTGGTGACCCGTTAGTTCATCGGGATCATTTAGGGAAATTCTTCCCCTCCTATTTAGACTTCTGGTGATCCCGCTTGAGCGTGTCGAAGAATTGCTCAACCTGTCCGTTGGACTGCGGGGTGATATGGTGACGAACGCAAGTGATTAATGTCCGACTGCTTGCAGAGGTGGGTGAAGGTAGCTGATGTGAACTGCCTTCCATTATCACTCACCAAAGTTCCGGGGCAACCAAATCTGTTGAACAGTCGTTGAAGAGTGCTGACTCTGGTACCGGATGTTGTGCGTTCCGCTTGAAAGACTTCCGGCCATTTGCTTCATGTCTCGACAGCGATAAAGACGATCTGGCCATTGGTCCGTCCAGAGTAATCGATGTGGACTATAGACCAAGACGCTTGTGGGACAGGCCATGCCTTGAGTGTGCTCTTCGTTAAGTTGCAGATGGGGGCTTGGTGTCGGGGTGTAACGAAGTAGAAGCAGCCGTCAGGTTCATCGATAAGCTTGGGAGAGACCGCCAGTGCACTGCTTGCATGAACTTGCTCTAACCGACATGGGTGGTATTACGTAGGTTACGCCTCAGTTTGTGGAAATTGCAAATAGTGCATATGCGGTAGGGTATCCTCATCAGTGCAAACTGAGACGGTCATCAAACAACGTCGATGCTCCTTGAGTGATCGTACGAATGCAATGTTGGTGCCTGCCCACGACACGCCGTATACTCGGACTGATGTACTTGATGTTTGCGATCCCGTAGTAAATACAACTTAATCTAACACGCCTACTAGCAGTTGTAAGTAGGAGGCGACGGCGTGCTATTTCGTTCGAATTTTGCATGGGCCAACTTGCAACGACACAGCATACCGTCAGTATCTTAGAGTTCGACCATAGCAAGAGACAGGCCGACGCCGTGTCCCACGGAGTGGACACAGCACCGATGACTTGCACGCGAATTAAATCATAATGAATTAGACTTGTTCGGCAGCTACCGCACTTTCCTTCAACCACCCTATTCCGATTGCAAGACTAAATATTGTCAACTGATGGTTGGGTCGGGCGCAGCGGCTGACCATTCCAAACAGCCCCTCCACGCGTGAACATGCGAACTGACCTCCATTACACGTAGTGGGCGACAATAAGGGTGAGTGGGACATCATGTGTAAAAATGTCATGTAGGCCACATTGAGAAGGGGCCATTGCAGCCTGACTCTTCGGTCTGAGAAGGATCAAGTCATTTCGCGAGATGACAAACTTCCAGGCTATAGTTCTGAACGTGTCGCGATGGATTCAAGCATGCCAGATTTGTTATAGTGAGGCATGCACAGAGTTGCCGTAAGAGTGGATTCTCCAGTGTCGGCCTCACTTCCTCTTACGTATACAGTTAGTGACCTAATTCATGAAATGCGTCGGAATTTACGAATGATTGTCAATCACTCGCAAACCGACACCATTTCATGCTTCCAATGTCTATGTTAATTAAGTACAAATTTAAAAGAATTAAAAGCATAAAAGAAACGTTAAAGGCAGTGTTGCGTTTTATAAAATTCCGATTTATTTTGAAAGTCAAATTTACGACCCTGCCAGTCGGCGGATGATGTGATTAGACACAATGACTGACAAGAATAAACAGTCCGTCTGCACTAACCACGCACGATCTGACCCTCACTTCATGTCCCAGGCCACACCAAAGATCCCGCCTCCTATTTAAGTGAGATAAGAATGTTCTTACAAGCGGCCTTTCTTCGCCATATCGATGCTGAGAATGTGAATCGAATGCTGTCTGCGGGATTTATCCATCCTGCCTTCATGGTGACATTTGCATGTCTTCATGGGTGACATTTGCAAGTAGCGAGTATGCAGCAGGATATCCTCGTCAGTGCAACGTTCAACAATGACTGAACAGCGTCGATGTACCTGGATTGGACGTGGGTCCCGTCTCACGACACACCGTTTACCCCTCCTGCTAGCACAAAGGATATTTGAAGGACATTCGTCCGCCCATTTGCCACTTCTGTGGCCTCTTTAATAGATTATTTCCTCTTTTGGGTTTTTTGAACTTGTTAACAGTCGTCCGTTTTAGGGGTTCTTTAGATAATTAAATTTGGGTGTGGCTCTCGAGGAGATCGTGCAGGAGTAACAGCTCAGAAAGTGGCCGTCGGATGGTGCTGGAGATAGGTTTGAGTGTACCGTCCTTTGATATGATTATCAAGAATCGATTAAAATTCCTTCAGTTGAGAACAGTCAAATGTGCATTTGGAGATAGGTTACTAAACACAATTTAAAAATGTGTACTTACTTGTACTTGATACGGCTGCGATCATGTCTGATCTAGCCGGCCTCGATGATGTCCCGAACTGTACCTCTCCACGCATGACGATCCGCGGCAGCAAATCTACACAGCTCAACCCATTCCCTTCGCCAACGACGGAGACAGAATACCGAAGGTCCAAGAACCACCTCCATGTCTTGACGGACAGTGTCGAGCCAGGTTTTGAACTGACCCCCTCGTCGACGCCTCCAAGGGGGCAACGGTGCCAGATCGAGGGCAGTAACACTGAGCTCCTGAGGTGGACGACGAAGCACATGCCCGAACCACCTCAGTCGGATTTCTTGGATGGCCTGAGTTATCCTTGCGATGTTATCGAAGCGAGCGCGGACTATCTCATTTGAGACGAAGTCGGTTAACTTCACTCGAAGGATGATCCTCAAGCAGTGGTGGTCAAATACCTCCAGTTTTCGTTCATCCTCCACTCGCAAACCCCAACATTCACAATCGTAGAGAAGGACAGACCGGACAGATGCACGGTACACGCGAATCTTAGTGGCGATGGATAGGTCACGTCGGTTCCACAGGCATTTCCGAAGGCTTGAAAAAACCCAGCGGGCAGCATCGATTCGGGAGACAATGTCGTCCTTACTCTGTCCACTAGGCAGCAGCCTCGCCCCGAGGTATTTAAAACTGCCCACTTCTTCAAGTTGTCAGCCATCAATCCACAGGGGTGCCTTCTCCTGGTCAGGGATGCAGCTTGAGAATACTTTGGTCTTCCCAGCGTTTATGGACAAACCGACTGATTTAGCGACCTCGTTCACCCGTGACACCATAGACTGCAGATCACCAAAACTTGAAGCAAGTAAGGCGATATCATCGGCATAGTCGAGATCAGTCAGTCGATGTCCGGGTGCAAATTCAACGCCGTCACTGTCGCGTAGGGCCCTCCCGAGGATCCAGTCAATAGCGTCGTTGAACAGTATGGGTGACAGGATACAACCCCGTCGGACGCCAGACCGAATACCGAACGGTTGGGAAAGATTGTTACGGACCAGGACTCTCGCAGTAGTGGAGCGATAGTAGGCCTTGATCATGGCGATGATTTTTGCCGGTACACCATCTAGCGCCATTATCCGCCACAGGAACTCATGGTGAACGGAATCGAACGCGGCGGCAAAGTCGACGAAGCAGACGGCCGTCGGTTGTTGGTAGCCATGGCGAAATTCGAGAATGCTCTTCAGTGTGAATATCTGATCTGCTCATCCACGTCCAGCACGAAATCCGGCTTGGTTGGGCCTCGTCCTTGAGTCACGCACAGCCTGGAATCACCTGAGTAGGACAATAGCGAAGAGCTTCGCAGCAACGTCGATGAGACTTATGCCGCGGTAGTTTTCGCATCTCGTCTTATCTCCCTCCTTGAGGATAGGTACAAGGATGCCTAAGCCCCAGTCATCAGGAACAACCTCGTCTCTCCACGCTTGTTCAATCATCTCATGGAGCCAAGGCGCCAGAGTGTCGACACAAGACTTGAAGATTTTAGCGGGTATACCATCCTCTCCGGGTGCCTTATTGTTGTGCAACTTTCGTATGGCATCGGCGACTTCTTCCTCGGAGGGGGGATCGAATGGCACTGCATAGGTAGGAGAGGGAAGAAACTCCGCTGAGGAGGAGAGCAAGGGCGATGTAGGTTGGGTATCGATGTTGAGATGGTGCTCAAAGTGCTCACGCCAGCGCTCGACTTTGGCCGAGTTGTCAGCACTAAAGCCGCCGTTCACATCGCGAACAGAGTCACACAGCGTAGAGGGCTTACCGCTAACTTGGCGGATCAGACGGTAGAGCTTTCGAGTGTCCCCAACGTTCGAGGCCTGTTCCATGGATGTCGCTATTTCAGCTCAATATTGCTTCCGGTCATCCCTGGCCGATTTTGCCGTCATCTTCCGAAGTTGGCGGAAGTAGTCATCGTTGCGGGACCTGGCTCTAGCCGTCTGAGCAGACAACTGCAGGGTTGGAATGATATTACCGACAAAGACAAGGGGGACTTGAATGGACATTTCTGGCTTATTAGCCGTCGTCAGCTAGCCATACCCAAGCCCGAAGTGTGCAACACCCGAGCCTCGAACTCGCGACCTGTTGGTTTAGAAGTTCACGCCTCTACGCACTGGGCCACGAGCCCGTTGCCCTGTCGGTTTTCGATCGGGAATGTACAATGTTAGGGGGCGCTCACCGATCGTTCCTACGGAACTCACTCGTTTCGTTGTGCCTTAAGGGCTCTCTCTCGAGCCCAACCAGCAGCCGCACAGCGGCGCATGATATAGAGGCAGAATGGTATTACCGACAAAGACAAGGGAGACTGGAATGGCCATTTCTAGCTTATTAGCCGTCGTCAGCCAGCCATACCCAAGCCCGAAGTGTGGAACACCCGAGCCTCGAACTTGCGACCTGTTGGTTTAGAAGTCCAGAAATGGCCATTCCAGTCTCCCTTGTCTTTGTTGGTAATACCATTCTGCCTCTATATCATGCGCCGCTGTGCGGCTGCTGGTTGGGCTCGAGAGAGAGCCCTTAAGACACAACGGAACGAGTGAGTTCCGTAGGAACGATCGGTGAGCGCCCCGTACCACCAACTGCAGGGTTCTTCCGCTGATCCAGTCACTGCGGCGTCGCTGGGTATATCCAAGGATTTTCTCAGCTGCCCCATAGACTGAGGTCTTCAGTGACGACCACTGGTTACTGACTTCTCCGTCGGCTCGGGTCGTACAACAGGTCCGGATTTCTCTGCTTAGGGCCTCGGCAGTGCTGGCTTGCCGGATTTTTGCGACATTGAGGCGTCTAGGACGTGGCATTTTTGGTGCGGATGAGAGATGAACTTTCAGGCGTGTACGGACGAGGACATGGTCCGGCCCATGGGCATTACCAGTCTCGGCACCACGCATCGATCTGCTATCGTGAACCCCGCTGCGGAACCTTGAGCTGACTAGTATGTAGTCAATCTGACTGGCCGTACGACCGTCGTTTGAATACCAGGTCAGCAGATATTTTTTGCGATGCTGGAAACATGTGTTTGTGACAAGCAGTCGGTTTCGATCTGCGAAGTTCAGCAATCTCTCACCGTTTTCACATCGGGAACCAAGTCCAAAGCGGCCAAGAAGATGACTGGTTGTGGGATCTCCAGGTCCAGTTCGACCATTCCAATCGCCAGCAACAATCAGATGATCGCGGCGAGGCAGTCTTTCAATTAGCGCGCTGTTCGGCAGCCGAAGTTGGTGCGTACACAGTGACGATGGAGATGTTCGTGAAGTGACCCTTCAGTCGCACGTAGGCCATCCGGCCATTGACTGGTTCCCAAGCAAATAGCTCGAGGTCCTCTTGTTGTGATAGGGCGATCGCCACACCGTGTCGACCAGAGGAATCGCGGGGGCCGCTGTGGTACAGGGTGAAGAGTGATTCAACTCCCGGGATCTTCATTTCACGGGAGCCTGAGTCAGGAAGTCGTACCTCAGACAGACAGCAGACATCCACGTTGTACTGAGGAAGGCTGCGTGCGGCCAGACTTTGGATACCAGGGTCCAGGAACGTTCGTGCATTCCAGCATCCAATACCGAGAGTCCGTCCACGATTGAGTAGTCCAGCTCGCATACTATTCGCCCGCACCACCGGACCAGGGTTGCGGAGCGCGTCGGTTCCCGCGGACGCCGTAGCATGGGTCGTAGTACTGTGATCGGACATGTTTCACTAGGTTTCTTGGGAATTTCGAATACGGGCGGGTCCCCAACAGCCGCTCGGATTGTTTGTTCGAAGTTGTCTCCTCTAGCGCTTTGACTTAAAAACCTAACCACAAGGCAGCGGTGGCTAGTAAACTTATTTAATGGCGGTTTACGGTCGCCATGTCACAATGCCGTCATTGGGTTTTGCGGCATTTTATAAGGCTTTCAGCGTGCCAGACTTCAGCCCACCGCACCCTGGTAGCAATGTCGCTGCTGGTCCGCGACTGCTTATTCGTCAGACCTGGGTCTGCTTATTTCGCAGCTAACCTTCACTGAAGGTCGTCCCACTATCCGCCACCTGTGGACACGCCGGGTAGCCAGCAGTTAGGTTAACGGGCAACCCGTCTTCCCGTCTTAAAAATGTGTTGGGAGTCTTCGGGCCGCCTATCATTTAGCAGACTGTCGGGGGCACTAAACAGCGGTTATTGATTTGGATAAATATCTTTGAAATGGAAATAACTATGATAAGTTGCGTTAAATCTTTACTACTGCTCTGATAGATCCTGTCCTTTCATAGGGATCACGTATATTTAAGTATATATTTACTCTGTATTCAGCTCTATCTAGTGATACAATACTTCACTTGGCAACGATCGGGTGAAGGATCGCAAACATACACGACCAGCTAAAGGTGCCTGTCTAACGGGAAAGGTGGTAATAGGAGGTTTACGGGCGGTGCCTATGTATGCATAGAGGAATGACAAAATAAGCATAGATAATTGGTAAATTCATTTTTTGGACGGAAACGTTTTAATGCATTGACATATAGCAACCGAAATTAAGCAGGACAATTAAAAAATAAATATTAAGTGCCTACAACGATCGCTCCTCGACTCTCTGAGCTGAGGTCATTGTACATAATGCACCAGACCGTCTACAACAGAAGGCCCAACCTTGTACGACGAAACACCAAACCAAAATAATCTTGTTGGACTAAAACCCACTTAAATAAATATGGCTGGCATTCTTTATATGCCACCGATGCTTGGAGTCCTTCACCCGGTCCTCATCCTTCACTCACCCGATTTTGGCCTAACTTCTGACCATCTACGAGGTTGCAATCACGTCCTCATCTTGGGGATGACTGGCAGTCCCACCACTCGTCCCCTTTGTCTCAGGCATAACACAGTGGTCACCCTTTCGAACGTGGACGTAATCTATTAGTTGCGGTAATGCGAACGAGAGTGCACCGACGTTTTCGCTGGGATCGGAAAGCCAAATATGGAGAAGGCCTTCAGAATCTGCCGTTCTAACTCGTCCCTCACCCCACCTGGGTTGAAGGCGTGCTCGAGCGCTGTCTGACAAAGATACACCTCGTATAGCGTTTTCACACAGGATACGGCCCCAATGGCATATACCAGGTTTTCGAAGAACAATGGGGGCGGATAGGATCCCATCTGAGTTTTAGTGCCATGTAGCTTACATTTAGAAGTAACCCTTAGGACTTATTTTCAATTCCTAAGTGGACTTGATTATCCCGGCAGTTTGCAGCATTTTAAACCACAACATTTCGCACGACATAATGATTTCAAACTGCACCGCATTTTTTGCGGTGAAGAGAGTACTAAAGTGCCGGGGAAATGGATTTCGCGGACCCGATCTCACACATTCTCCCTTCTCTCATGTGTCAGTCCATTTTCGGAACCGCTCGGCCATCTGGTGATGGGATTGGGCGCAAGTGGTTGTCGCGGTGTAAGTCGGCGCGGAAACGTGCCATGACCTCCCCATATGTGGCATTTGTTAAGGGATGCGCGGACCCTGCCCGGACCGCTTAACGCATACCGCATCCTAGTCTGTCTCTAATTTTGATCCAGCCTCTCAAAAGCGCAGACGGTTCTAGGGGCAGAGCTGACACGCATCTGACAGTTTGACCGTCGTTACCAACAATGCCCACCGTCTGTCTCACAGCAAGGTGTGCACGGAGAGGATTAGCTTTTCGTGACGGCAGACATTTGCGACACCCAACACACTCTCTCCTACTCCATTCATCTGCACTTAGTGTCAAAACAAAATCAAAAAGAACAGAGACGCCATCGGACGCAGTGACTAATAGAGCTAAACAGCCCGTCCACGTGCCATAAACGTCTGCTCTGCTCATGTTGGACCAGGTTGCATAAAAAGGAAAAATGGTCAGTCCGTAGTAAATTTGAGTGGAATTATCATCGAGTCCACATTAAAAAGCAGCCAATGCAGCCTGGCTCACCGTCCCTGAGCGGAAGACCGAATTATACTATCGGCTGGCAGCCTTCCAAACCGCGGCTTTTAGCGTACCAGGATAATATAACGGGGCGTGGGATTGTTTACGGTGAGGAATATGCGCTGAGTGTTGTCGGGACTGCGTCCCCAAACTAAATATCTCTTCTCCTTTCTTCTCCCGGACACCAGCTCTCTGCCCGAGCTGGTTAGACATCTGCTGAGGGAATAGACGCAGTGGGTGACAGAGTGAAAACGGCCCGTTTGGGTTTCACACACAATATGGTCACATGAAAGACATGCCAGGATTTCACAAAAAGTGGGAGGACTGCCCGGTTGTAACATGCGTTATAAAATAGAGACCGTAAGAAAAAGGACCCTGCGGCAGTCCACGCTTCTTTGTTCTCTGCCGCTTTATCTATCTGTCCTTCTTTCCGCCCCACACCCCCTGTCGATCCGCTGTTGAGACGGCAAGGGGCTTATCACTAGCCTCGTTAGGGCTCGAAGACGTGGACGTTTCCGGACTCCAATTCCAGAACCTGTCACTGATTACTGACAACGGCACCATTCTCTGTGACATCTCCACCGCCTCCCACCGTCCCTTTGTGCAGTCATCGCTCCACCGCAAGGTCTTCTCCTTTCTGCACATCCTTTCCCACCCTGAGAGTCGAGCTGCCCGCAATCTGGCTTCCGACCGCTTCTTGTGACCTGAGATGCACAAGGACCTGAAAGCATGGACACAGGCATGCTTCGACTGTCAGCGGCGTAAGGTCCAGTGGTACAGCAAAGCATTGGCACTTTCCCCACTCTGGATGCACAGCTCGGTCATGTCCACCTGGACATCGTGGGCCCCATGCCTCTGTCCAGTGGCTGTTTCTATCCTTACCTGTGTGGATCGATACACCCCGTGGCTGTAAGCTATCCCCCTGCCTGACGTTGATGCTCCAATGGTGGTCAAGGCTTTCCTCGGTCGTTGGGTGGCCATCTTTGGTTCACCCTCCACTATCACGTCTGACCGCGGTGCCCAGTGGTGGGTGCCATGTTCATTTTCCTGACCGTTCGATTATTCGTGTATTTTAGACATGGGCATTTCATTCGGCGTCGCCACACGCCGCCTTCGGTCTGGGGGGCACTGTAGCAGTCCGTTTTGCCTATCTGTCCTTCTGTCCGCCCCACACTCCCTGTCGATTCGCTATTGAGATCGCGAGGGGCTTATCACTAGCCTCGTGAGGGGTCGAAGACAACCAATTTTGACTCTTCTCCGATTGGCTGGCGGACGCTAACTAGAACAGAGCGCAAGGCGCACACACGAGCTGGGAGATAATAACCTCAACGCCGGACACAGACAGCACAACTTACCCGGACTGGCAACTTGCTGCAACTGCTAACGAAGCCTCTTCGACGCTCCTACATGTCTGTAAAGTCGACCAACCCAATGCGTCTTCCCCGGCTTGTGGTTTGTGAATCTTTTATTGTCTAAGTTCCGCAAATATTCCCATGTTACACATGAAAAGTCAAGTTGACAAACACGTGTTTTCGGCAATTCTTCGCCAAGTCAATCGCTATTCTACAGCGACTTTGGTGCGACTGCTCGCATGGTGGGGCGGACAAAGGTGACGTTAAGATGGCACCGCGAAGACCTTCCTCGGGCACCTGCAAATCAACCCAAAGCATCAATCTTGGGCCCTCGAAGGCCCTGCTTAAGATCCACAAGCCTGACACACTGCCGTAAGGACTGGAGCAGCCACTTTTGAAGCCAACTGAACAGCCGTTGCCAAGGCAATATGAGAGGCTCGTAAATCTCGAATGTCACATGCGCCCAGCCCCTGTTATCTTGCCCACATTGCCCACGGACATCCCGGGCACGGGTCGGTTTCATTGGAAATCTGCAGGTCCGGTGTGACTACAGCACGATCTACCTGTCCATCGTCTCACAAATCACCACCAATGAGGAAACTCCTCATATCCATCGCATCATCATTACGGTCATCATCGTCCCATTCATCAGCAATTGGAAGTCAGCTCCACCACGGTCGCACTGCGGCCGCACCTTCAAATCACGCATGGGCCGAGTCAGCCACTTGCGGGTGCATCGCACTGAGACGGGCGGTTCAGTGTCTGAAGTGCTGACATACACCCGTCAGAAAACGCCGCACTGGCCCATTTGGTCATATGCACATGCATGAAACACAACAATCCAAAGCCGCACAGCATTTTGTCTTATCTGCGTACACGGACTTACTGAGGCTACATTTGTTCCCTCTCAGTCCCATGCATATAAAGGACAAACACCAACATTGCCTTTTAAAAATCGCGTGTGGATGGACTTTCTAACGGTGGTGTGATGGGCGAAACGTTGTACGTGAGAACCTACCCATCCCAAGGGTACGAAAATCGATATTGAATGTAGCGTGGAACGCGTAGCATACTTTGTTTGCCAGCGACTGCATGAAATCTGGGTCAATTTGGCAGCCACTAACTTTTGATATGATGTTTGCACCTCGAAGTAGACACGGCATTTATTGGGTGTCCAGTTCTTCTGAGTAATTTCCGCTTTCTTCTCTTCTTCAATGTTCTTTTGAACATTCCCTTAAGAGAAAGATCAGCATTCAAAACAATGGCGCCCATTTCCTGCAACCCATTCAGCCTTCGTTTTAAAGTTTTTGCTGAGGTAGATATCCTTCACGCGTACATTGACGTGTTAGTGTGAAGCAATGCATTCAGCCAACGGGCAAAACCGCTGTCTAACTTTTAGGGGAACTTTACGATTAGCAAAAGCAGACAAGTTACGCCGCCATACCCAAAAGGATCACCGAGTTCATGAGTGAGCTTATCCTATGCACATGGCCAGAGGTCAAGTTGAGTTATAGGTAGTAATAGGGAAATTTCGAAGCCACCGTGCTCCAAACGATGACACACCGTAAACCATAGAATAGGGTTCACTGCAGAAACGCACTGGCCCCCAACTCGATGGAAGGCGACAGTCCCCTTCCCCCTCACAAGTTAGTGCAGTCTTCAAAACCCGTCAGAAACACAAAGACAGAGGCGGGAACCGCCGCTGGCCGTCTTATATTTTCACACTCTGTCTCACGCAGAATACGACCCGCCTGGATTTCGGAGCTGTCAGGAACGACATGAATATCAACTCTCCAACTTGTCCGGGCACGAACGACGATGCCGGAGTCCAAGGTGAGGTCCGTACGACTCAGACCCAGATAATAGGCACCGCCTTCGAACGAAGCTTACGCTGCAAACCACCTTGAAGTTGGGGCGTACTGTGCTCTTATCGCCTACTGGCATTCATTTGAGATCACTCATTCCTAGTTTGAAAGTAAATTTTAATGCGTACATCACGCGGCAACGTAGGCTCCGAGACGATGCTTTCCAAACTCGTGAGCAAATACAGGCTTGACTTCACCTAGATCGCCTTTCGAAAACGACAAATTGAAGTCTGACAAAAACTTCGAAGTATCATTGTGTGACTGAAGAACCAAATACCACGCAGAGATGAAAAACGACAGAGCGCATATTTAGAAAGCAGAACCACGCTACAAAAAAATTGTACTTTATTCAAGTGAGTGTGAAAAAAGTATTCAATCATTCGGTGGCCGGAATAAGACGAAAATTATGTACAAGCTTGTGTGACACATCCGATGGGATACAGAGGGCAGTTCACAAAACTGCGTTGCAAAAATGGCCCAGTCTATATATCCAGATCATCATCTGGGTCTTCATCGTCAAAATCATCATACACATCGGGTTCGTAGTCGATCCTGCATTCATCATTACTTGGGCCAGTGTTGGCGTTTGCCTTGAATGGCAGAACCACCTTCTGTCGGTCAGCCGCTTCAGCGGGAGTGAGGGAGAGTCGGAAGGTTGATGAGGGCAACACAGGCTGCGACTCCAGCCCTGGGTCATCTTCCTTGCCCAAACCCCTGTCCACAGTCGGTCTACAGTGGAGCACAGCCAGCGACTCCAGGTTCAAGCAAATTTCACACCTATCCGAGAGGGCAGGCTTATTTGTGGGTAGGGCTGTGGGTTGTTTGGCGGACTTAAGAACGGCGTCTTTGGTCCTCCGATGCCAAAAGTCTGCCGAAAGGAGGCAGACTCGGTCGTTCTCCCTGGTAATTGTTTGAAAGCCCAGAAATGTCGTGGCCACAGACTTGAAGACATCGAGGAGACACTCGCTACCCGCCGTAAGGCCAAAGCTCTCAGAGTACAGCTTAATGCCACATATTAGAGAAGCGACGTGGCGTGTCGTGGAAATCACGGCCAGTCGGGCGGCCAGCTGATAAATCCAATCGCGCATTTGACAGCCGCCTCCGCCGTCGTAACCGTCAAGGAGGAAATTGTCTAGGTTATCGAAAACAACTACCCAATAGCGCTTGCCCCCATCATCTGCCGGCCTGGACACTTCCATCTCTACGGCGTCTAGACATGCGCTAGCGTTCGCAAAGGTGCTGCTATTTACCACTTTGGCCGATTGTTCGAGTGTCGACGGCAGGCCGGGAGACTGTAATCCGAAGACTTCGGAACGAACGATTAGGTACTTGAACATATCGCAGGTGGCTTTGTACAGGCATGGCCAAAGACAGGACTTTGCATCGCATGTGTCACTGTCCGCCAAGAGGACAAATGATGATTGCTTTCTGCCCGCAAGCAAGTCTAGGAGGTAGGTGCTCGGCACTGTCATTGGACCTGCAAAAAGATCACGGATTTAGGCAGGGGGGCTTCGACAAACAGAGGGCAAAACAGTTTTTCCTTGGAACCCAGATCTAGGGCCCTCACAGGCGGTCGCATGGCGAAAAGCTGTCGATGTAAAATGGATGTGGGCTAAAAAGTGGACTTATCTGTCATTGTTGGCCGGTCACACCCCAAGGTCAGAACACAAAGATTTAAAGTGTATCCTGAGCTACACTGCTATTCGGAAAAATATTCAATAACGACTGGCATGATGCATGAATGAAACGTAATAAAACCTTGACAGTTACTAGTACAAGCATTAAATGACACTCAAAGTACATCTAATAATATTTAGATAAGCATTCCCACTGCCCATGGACGTGCCGGGTGACCAATGGTTCGATAGATGGGTAAGCCCGTCTTCGGCCTTTATGTTATCTGAGTAGGCCGATAGCCACTGTATCATAAATTGAGAAGAAAAGAACGGCTTGCACCTCCTTGAATCAGAAAATTGTTAAGCAGCTCTAAAGTGTGATCTACTATGGGCGGGGTAGGATCCTGGATACATAGATACGGTACGGGCAGAGCCTACTCAAAGTCGATCTGTGAACACATTGCCAGTTCGCATGGCTGACTGCGCTGCCACCACTGACATAAGTAGGCACTGTGTAATGGCCTCTCATGGGTCACACAAACTTAGCATATTCTCCGTAGAGCCTCTGTATCGACAAAAAGCAAGGACTAAACTGCTCTTTTTCTGCTCCCTAGCTCGCAAGCCACGGTAGAGGCTATCGTCTCATCCTTCTCTGTAGTGCCTAGTTAATCAACTGAGAAAGCCTGCTGCCCAGTATCGTATAGGGTTAGTCAGCGGTGGCAAGTGCGTAGTCAATCTTCAAACTTGACAAAACACCCAACGCCAAGAGAGATCTCATCTCTCCCCTATCAGCCGCAAACCCAATCGAAGGACAGGCTTGGTTTGTTAATCAGGGCGACATGCACATACTGGTTTGGTCTCTTTCAATTCCGAACATAGCATCCATGTAAAGACCAAAGCATGTCCCAGAGGTCTCTTATTCATGAGCCCAGTACAAGCATCAAGCGCTGTCGGCACACACGCACGTACACATGCGTACTTCTTAGTCCCTTTGACAAGTGCCTGTTTACTATCCATGTTCTTGACTTTGGTTAACTGGTTCACGGCATCGCTACGATGTGGATAGGTAAGGAGGAAGTTCGTGCAGCCAGTTAGAAGCGTTAAACCGATTTTAGTAACCCAATTTGCCGTGACTGTCGCTCCGCGTACCGACGCTTCGACCGTTGCAAGTTATGACGCCTACCGAGTGTATTACGGAGTGTGAGCTGTATCGGTGACTCCCATGCGAATTCATTTACGAAAAGGCAGACTTGCGAGGCACCTACCGCACTCCCTCTCTCACTCCCCTCATTCACCTTGCCCGACTGGCAAGATTATGTCAAGACGACAGGAGGTGGGCTAGGACGCAATAAATGACAATGCCAACCAGCCCGTCCACTCGTGCGACAAGCAACTTGGCCCTCACTATATGTAATAGTCCACAATAAGGGCAGTTGGGATCTCATGAGTGAAAGTGTCATAAAGGTTACGTTTAAAAGAGCCATTGCAGCCTGACTCTCAGTTCTGATAAAAACCGACTTAGACCGTCGGTTAGAAACCCTCCGACTTTTAACCGGTCCTAACAGATTTGAGCATCCCCGATTGATTATCCTGTGAAGTGCGTTGGTGTGCCCCGAGGATGGATTCCCTAATGACAGCCACACTCGCTCCTTCCTCTCCCACGCACTTGCTGACTGTCGGAGTCTGTCCAGCAGTAGTTGCGGTCTTGAGCTGACACAGTACAGCTCAAAAAACGTGTGTTGTTACTCCGTCTGACTCCTGTTTTGATGCGCCGCATCTGCAGCGTAGGGTGTTTTCAGGGCCATTTATTATCACATCAAAATAGAGACAGACAACACACGTGATAATAGCAGAAAAAAACAAGACATAATCACGGCTCCTGGTGGGGCCTCGTAGTTCAAGTGGCTAGGGCGTTGGCTGTACTCAAGCCTTTCCCTCGCTGTCGTGGGCTCAAATCCCACCGAGGTCGCCAAGTTTTTAACTGTTGGGTCAAAATGAATAAGGCAAAAATTGACAAGAAAATCTAGTTTATTGTTTTTGTGGAAAATGTGGTGGAAACCGGTGAGGCCGCACATAGATTCAATTTCTGACATTTGAACAGCGAGTCAGTCACTTGTAATCCCGTTCGGAGTGCAGCTCAAAAATTTCTTTCATGACCCACCGAATAGTTGTACTCTCACTTACGACTGGAGAACTCATACTGCTATGTAAAAAGTACGGAATGGCTTAAAGAGTCCGGCATCCCATGAATGCGACAACACCAAGATTGCAGTCTACAGAATACAAAGCTGTTCAGGCGCAGAAGTTTCAGTTCAATTATGCGGGCCGGTGAAATGAATTCAGTTCGGGTTTCCGACCAATGAGCCAAGTTCGTCTTTATATCGGGTTTGTGACTGGTAGGTAAGAGACCGAACCACTCTCAGAGTTTAATGCTCCACTAGGCTTTAAGACCGACAACAGGATGTGAAGTCCACAGAAAGATGACCTGGTCGGGAGAGCATATAAATTTCTATTGTTGCGTGTAAATTGGCCAGAAATGCCATTTAATCCGTTATTTGGTCAACAGGGTTCGGACAATTTGCCCTCAGATAACATAAAGGCCGAAGACGGGCTTACCCATCAATCAAACCATTGGCTACCCGGCGCGTCCATGAGCAGTGGGAATAGGGACGGCTGATAGAGAAAGCCAGACGCAAATTAAGCCGACCCTCATGTCTGATGGATAAACAGTCGAGAAACAGGAGTGATAGTACTACTAGGCCGTGGAAGCCTAAAGGTCTGGCATGCCGGGTCTTGAAAAATGCCGCAATCCCATCGTGACACTGTGGCAAAGGCGAACAGCCACTAAGTAAGTTTGATTTCCACAGCCGCTTTGAAGACGAATTCCTCAGTCAATGCTCTCGAGGATAAAACCCCGGAAAAACTATCCAGCCGGCTGTGAAGAGCTCACTTGTACTCAAAAGGTCTTAAAGGCCGTGAAAATGTCGGATCCTTGCATTACGATTCACACTGAGGCCTCTAAAGGAATCGACGCGCTTTGCAACGCTTGTCCAGTGAGACAGGCGAATAGCATGCGAGCCGGACTACCCAATTCAGCACAGATATTTTCGTACTAGGTGTTGGAATTTGCGAATGTTCCTCAGTCCCGATACCCGAAGTCTGCCAACTCGTAGTACAAAGTGGATGCGACAGTCGTTACAAACACTAAATTACGCTGACCAGAACCGAACAGTTGTCATCTACAGGTATTTCCGGCATAGCCGCAAACATCTGCCGATCGTGTACTTAAACGATGGTTGTATGGCTAGTTAGATTAGTAAAACTTCAGTCAGTTTAACTTTTTGCACCTTGTTCATATTAGTTAATTTATGCGTGATGTCGAAAGCGTTAGTGTCTACAATAAGTCTATAATAAGTCAGACCATGTCCTCATTCAAACACGCATGAACTTGCTTCTCATCCAAGACCAACAGTTGTCATACAGGACGCTTTTATCTTGCAAATTACGACAACCCAACAAGAGCGAGGCCCTGAGCGTGGAAATCTAGCCTATTTCCACAGTTTGCGCCGAAGGAGAATGCATTGGCAAATGGTCACCGTTGAAGTCCACGGTTTACGAGGCTGTTGAGGAAATTCTCCGATTCATGTAGTTGCGCTGCCTTGACTAGATGGACCCAGAGACCTTACGGCTGTCCGCCTATAAAGCTCGGACTAGTTTACACGATTATTCCTTCAGCCAATGCTACTTTTCATCCTTCACGCACAATAATCCCAGCAAGACCAGTGCATGTAATAAAAGCTATTTTTAGGGTGATACTATGTATTACACGATGGAAGACAATGGATAAGGAGCCTATTATAAATACGAAACGGAGGGTAACCGAAGTCGGAAAATAGTAAATAGTTCACGGCTGGGGATCGGGAGACAATATATTCCCCTTCACCGCTGTGCTTGGATCGACGTTCTTGCCTGTATAATAAAGAGGAGCACGCCCGGAATCACCAACTTTCAAACCACCGCCTACCTCCTTTTTGCGAAACAAAAGCGATCGTCGCTCCGCCTGCCTTTACACACTCCCCTCCTCATGTGGAGCCCTGCCCCAGGGCTCCTCGCTAATGTGGTCTCTTTTAATTCTTCTTTAACCGATATGGGTACTAAATGTAGGGGAACGATGGGTACCGTATCCGGTGTGACCGTAGGCAGGCGTCCCGGTGTAGTTTTAGTTTTCGAAAATTAGCAGTTAATGTCTTCCTGTTAGGAAACGAAGCGTCCCGAAGCACATAAGTGGTGGGATGGTGCACGTAGACTGCCACATATAACCCTTCCCAGGGGCAAAATAAGTTGGCGGAGGTAACCAGAGAGGGAACTGGCCGATAATGCCGCACTAAGCTGCCTAATTGGTAGGGAGTATCGTGGACTTGCCTATCGAAGTAGGTTTTCTGCCTTTTCGCGGCTTCTCCGAAATTATCTTGTGCTAGATTGTGGGTGCATGGCAGTAATTTCTGTAGCCGCTACATGTGGTCGTCCAGTGCATGTGCACTCAAGGCAGGTAAGGGTAACCCTGAGTCAACCGGAAGACGGAAATGACCTCTGGGCAGCATAAAAAAGAGCATATCCAGTGGAGCTGTGCACAGCAGCATGGCAATCTTTTGTCTCAATAATGTGGGTGACTTTCCTCAGCAAACGTCTTCAGTGGTTAGATCAGTGTTCGGTTGGACCTTCCAACTTGTCCATTTCTTTCGGGGTGAACGGGCATCGTGTAAGCTTAACAGATGACAAGCAGATCGCACACATCTATCCAGGCTGGCTCCGCAGTCAGAATGAACGGACAAGAGTGCTCCGAAACGACGCGCCAAGTCACTGAGGATTGAGGTAGTCACTGCTGTAGCGTCTTGTAGTAAGATGAGTGCTGTCCCAACCCATTTAGTAAAATAGTCAAGCTTAAGCTTCCCATTCCGTCTCGGTGTTTTAACGGTTTAAACGGAGCGCACGCACTGCACGTGTTACAAAAAGTGGCCACCTGTTCGCAAAATGTAGCCACCAAAACCGTTGCCGAAATGCAGCTTCGGTCTTATTTTGTCCTACATGACGTAACTCGGCATGGAGGCTTGTGAGCCCACATTGCACGATTGGACACACCAAAATCTACTTGCAATGCCGGGCGACCCTATACTGAGAACTATTCCACAAGGAGCAACATCTTTTGAGTCTAATTCAGAAGGAAACTGAACCCGAGGGGGATAAACTGGCAGGGACGCAGGGACCCAAGGCAGATAAAACACAACCCGAAAACCAACACGAATTAAGTAATCAGTGAGTCAAAACCATCATGTAAACTAGGTAAAGGGAATATCAATGAAGGAAAGATCTACGTAATTATTTACCAGAAGCTGAAGGTAAACGATGAAAAACATCCTCCGAATTACCAGTCTGACCAATGCTACCACTGTTTTCAGTGACCTCTGAGCATGCTCAAACCCACGACAAAAGACACTACTGACTTTTCTTACTTACTAATCAACACAGCAGACTTTCTGTGTGTGTCCACAACTCTTTAGACTTCCCACAATATGTTGCACGTGGCCACTGACCACCTTGTACTTACAGGTCCCTGTTAACTACCTCCGTTCCTTCTAACTTGAATGACTATCGTGAAGAACGCAACGGCCCCTGGTCAACATTCTCGTCAATAAAGAGCTAATCGCAAAAGTGTACATTTGAGAGAAATCTGCTGTTTTGAAGAGACAGACAGGGGTCAATGTTATGCTGCTCGATTAATTTCATGATATCAACAAACGGTAGCTGCCAATTATGATGGCACCGACAGCTGCACGAGTCGACCGTATCGTTCGAAAGCTTAACGTCGGCGTTTGCGGAAATGTGACTGGGCAGAGCGTACAAGGTGTACCCAGTCAACAGTTGGCTCATTCCTTGCATGCAGTTTTAAACTCTTGTAGTGCCTACAGCGGCAATACTCATTGGCTTCTGTTTTGTCATTGTCAGCGTCCTTAGAGTCTAAAAATACTATCATATTTGCACAGGTGTTAAGACACATTTATCTTTTCAACTCCTAATTTAATACGTTTTTTATACTCGCTATTTTATTTATGGAATTATTACGTAGACTATCAGCCGGCACCGGGCATAGTGGGCCCACACGCATTTTTGTCACAAGCTGCCCACAATGTACACCCGGAGCATTGTAAAAGGTTCCCAAATGCTACTCATTGTTAATCTGGGAATTTTAAAGGCATAGGTGTAAACAGCTTTCCAGAAGATAGGTGCTCGGCTCTGTCATGCTCATATTCACGCCTTATCTTCCGTCTGAAAGCCTCGAGCACATTAGAAGTGCAGCATCTCGGACTCGATATCATCGGCTCCATGCCATTCATCACTTCGGACGACATATTTTAATTGAAACCCCATTTCCTCGGAAAATTTCTCTCAAGGCATTTTTTCCCTTTCATTCTTATCTGTAAACACCGTGCGCAATTTATCGGTTGCAGACCCCATCCTTTCCCTTAATTTGCTGTCTACCCACCGTATGCGAAGGGCGTCGTCTTGAGTTTCAAACATATAGAACGCGAACTGAGCGTGCTCGTGCATTTCAGTTACCACTTTTTGGTAGAACGCCCACCATTGCCTTTTTCGGTGTTTGTTTTCCCAAGGCTTCCGGATACTCGGTGTAGGCCGCCCGCAGAACCGGCGTCGTAAAGCAGATTGCCCGCACCTCGTCTTTCTTGAAAAAAAGTCTGGGCTTCAGCCACCCTACATGGAAGAGGGTACGTTTACCATCCCTCCTGCGATGGATTCGCAACAAACTAACCGATGACGCATGTTTGCAAGGTTCTTCATTTTACATTTCGGACCATAGCAACCTATAATCGCGTCTTGATAAATTAATTTCTCTTCTGAGATACATCTTTGAACGTCAAGATGAGTGACGCATCTGCTTCATCAGGTGTAGTCTGCGCTAATCGCCGGGACTTGGTGTAGACTAAGACGACTTTCTTGCTGCATATGCAATTGTGGCGCAAATTAAGCGTTTTCACGTACCGTTTACCCTCACGTATGTTTGCCGTAATACGTGCTAGACAACCGACCTTCATTGACCTAGGTCGTTTGAAATTCAGCATTAGCCTCTTGCAAGATGCAAGTTAAACTAAATGGGCTTTAATTCTCTTATTCCATCATGAACCCTCATTTGTGGATTGGGGAAATAAAGACAGTCTTCCATTCCTCTGACAGTGCCTTCTTCCATGGACTTTTAAAATATCACAGGTACCGGCTCACACAATACACTGGTCAATTCTCGAAGGGCAAATAAATTAGATCTATCTGGACCAGGTAATTTGTCGGACTTTAATCGAATCAGTTCAGTGGTTATCGGTGTAGGCGAGAAGTGAAAACGGTCTTCTAATGCAAACGATCCGAGATATTGTTGCTGTTCTGCGTAGGTGTTGGGAGAAGAAGAAGAAGAAAAAGAAAAAGAAGAAGAAGAAGAAGAAGAAGAAGAAGAA